GGTGCAGCTGGAGAAGCTGCTGGTGGCTTCTCCAAGGCAGGTGGAGCTTCAGAGGTCATCCCCGGCCTGGTCCAGCCCAGCACAACCCAAGGGGCCTGCAGGACACCTGCGACCAGGACAGAGGTTCCCAGGGAGGCCAGAGCCTGAGCAGGGCCAAGGGCTGACTCTGGGGTCTCAGGTCCCAGGGAGGGGTGATGAGCTGAGAGGGGTGGTGGCTCCCACTGGCTCTGTGGCTCCTGCCTCAACCTCTGACCCGGCACTCCTGTTGATGTGAGCACGGCCTGTCCACCAGCCTCCTCTGCCAGCAAGGCTCAGCCACCCCACAGCCATCCACGTGGAGAGCGGTCGTGTGGGCTCTGTCGGCGCCACCCCCCCGTGGGCGTGGGCAGTGAACAAGGGAGCACCGAGGCTGCTGCTACCTTTAAAACAGCAGCTGGCCCTAGTGACACACCCCAGGCCCTAGTGACACACCCCAGACCCTAGTAACAGGCACCAGGCCCTGGCGCTAGTGACAGACCCTAGGTCCTAGCCACAGGCTGCAGACCCAAGGGATAGGCCCTGGCTCTGGTGACTGACAGACCCCAGGTCCTAGCGAGAGACCCCTGTTCCTAGTGACAGAGCCGTGGTCGGTCCTAGTGACTGCCCCTGGCCCTGCTTACTGATGCCACGTGGGCACCCGGGTTTCCAGCCCCTGGACAGCTCTGTGATCAGAGGCCGGCTGCTGTTTCTCCAGCCTTGTCACTTCTGTTCTGTCAGCTTTTCTGTAAGTTTGGCTTCGGGCAGTCCAGCATCCAGTCTTAAGGTATTTCCCAGGAGATTCATTCTGACAAATTGGGCCCAGTTGATTTTCCGTGGGGCCTCTTGGGAACAGGGACAGCCCATGGGGTTGGGGGCAAGGTGGCCTGGGGTGCCTGGGCGGCCAAGTCCTTGGAGCTGGCGACGCACCTGGGGCAGGCGTTTCCCGGCCAGCGGGGATGCTTTGTTCCCCAGGACAGTCGCCCTCTGGGGTCTGCCTCTGCCTGCCCGTTCTGAGGTCTGTGGTACCACCTCTACCCTTGTCTTCTGCCCTCTCCAAGCCTGTTTTGAAAATGCCAGTTGTACAACAACGTGCGGCCCACCCGTGGGTGAGCCCATAGGCGCCATCCTCCTGACTCCCTGGGGAGGCCCTGGGGGTGGGGGCGTGAGTGGGGTGGGCTCAGCCTCCAAGCAGGTCCTGGCCGGGCCCCACTTGGGCTCCCTTGGGGTCTAGCCAGGGAAGGGGTATGTGCTGTGAGCAGGAACCTGGGTCAGGGCAGGGCTGGGCATGTCCCTCCTACCAGGGAGGCACCGGCCAGCAGGAGAGGGTGCAGGTGCACACCTGGATGCAAGCCACAGGCCTGGGAGTGCAGGGCACAGCTGGGATGGTGGGCACAGGCCTGGGAGTACAGGGTGACCCCCTTGGGGCTCAGGGCACATGTGGGATGGTGGGCACAGGCCTGGGAGTGCAGAGCAACCCCCTGGGGGCTCAGGGCACACATCTGGAGATGGTGGGTGCATGCCTGGGAGCTTGTCCTTTGATCCCTGGGTGAGCAGTTTGTCTTCCTGGAGTCTCTTCTGCTACACGACCTTCTTTTCCCTCACGGTGACAGAGCACAGCCTCCGGGGGAAAAGGTGTGAGGGTCTGCACCCAGGGCTCAGGTGCGCTGCGTCCAGAAACTGTGAGAAAGTGGAGGACGCCTGGCCTCCGCCCGTCCAAGGAGAAGCAGCTGGCACAGCTGCATACTACACTTGGTGGTGAGCGCCAAGGGAGAGGTGCCCGCCCAGGCTCATTGTCCCTCTGACACCTCCACGTTCTCTTAAATTAAATGTATTCTATTACCGTCATTGTGGAAACAGCACATGGGTCTCGTGAAGCGATCCAGACAGTGCGACTCCCGTCTCCTCTGCTGCCGCTCGGGGTTGGCCGCGGCGTCCTTCTCCTCCAGACCCAGCAGCAGCCTGGCTGTCTTCCACAGCAGCACGTCTCGCCTGATTCATTCTGTCTATTTTAATTTAAAAACCTTTTAAAAAATAGTTTGCTAAGCTAATGCCTGTTTGAGGTAAAACAAAACTACAAGAACCTAGAACAGCGAAGCTCAGATGGGCTCTGAGGCGAGTCCCCGTGTGAGATCCCTGAGCGTGCACCCCACGCAGAGCCGGCTCTGGAAGCATTTGTGGCAGCCGGCGTCTGAGGTCGGCACCGCTCCACGCCTTGGTGCAGAAAGGCTGGGGCTGAGTTGGGACGGATTCCGCTTTTCCCTCCAAAACTGCCTGGGCCTGGTCCTCGGCCCTCCCGTCACGGCCGTGGGTTCCTGCATCTACTCCTTCTTCTCAGCTGTTGACGGCTGTCGCCCTCGTCTTCCTGGGAAGCCCAGTACCAAGCACCTCCGCAGGGGGTGTGGCCACGTCTCTGAGCTCACACCCACTGCAGGTGGCCTCCCTCCCCTCAGCCTGAGTGGGGACAGTGGACGAGGGTATCCAAGTCCCGGCCGGAAGCATTTTTCCTCAGAACGTTTGAAGCCAGTGTCCGTCTTCAGTAGATCTGGCGATGGCCTGATCCCTGTTCCTTTCTGCCCTCTGCCCCGCGGACCCCACAGTGCTCTCGTTCGTGCCATCTCATGCTGTTGCTGTGCTGAGGGGGGCTGAGCCCAGTGAAGGTGGTGCCTGCCCAGCAGGGGTGCAGGGGTACCTGGGCGCAGGGGCCCTGCGCTGGACCATCCTCACGCACCGTGACTCCCGCCTGCCCGCATCTCTGCTCACGCGCGTCCGCTTCCGCCGGGTCTGAAATTGCCTGCTGGCCTCCCTCTGACCTGCCTCAGTTTCTCCTCTTCACTCCTCGCTGCCTGATGTTTCATTACTTGTTTATTTATCACCTGCCCCAACTGAAGGCCTCACGAGGGCAGGACGCTTTATGTCCCGCTCAGCCTTCCAAGGCCAACCTCCAAGCTTATTAAAAACTCCTGCAAAGCACGCGCTGATGGGTGGGACGTCCTGCGTGAGCCCTGAAGGCGGCTCCAAGGGGCTTCCCTCATCCCTTTGCTCCCAGGCGGGTCCCACGGGGTGCAGGTTCTCAGATGACTCACGGAGGTGTGTGAATAAGGGTCTTTGTTCAGGCGCGTCCCCACACGAGATAAGACCACAGAACGCGGCCCTGAGTTTGAAGCATCCCAGAAGGTTCTTTTCCTCTGACCCGCACGCCCACCACTGTTATGGGTGCTCACAAAACCCACCATTGCTTCTGGGAATTTCCCAACCGCTCCTCCTGCCCAGCGTCCCCTGCTGCACAGGCCCAGTGGAAACACAGGCCAGGCCTGTGACCAGCTCCTGTTTCAGACAAAGAAATGGTGTCAGCGATAAAACGGGAGACTGTTCCTGGCTGGACACCTGACCCAGCCCTTCTACCCCCAGGATCCTGACCCCAGGCGGCCCCGCCCCCACCGGGATCCTGCCCCCACGCGGCCCCGCCCCCGCCGGGATCCTGACCCCCACGCGGCCCCGCCCCCACCGGGATCCTGCCCCCACGCGGCCCCGCCCCCACCGGGATCCTGCCCCGACGCGGCCCTGCCCCCGCCGGGATCCTGCCCCACGTGGTCCTGCCCGACTGGGTCCTGCCCCTGCGTCCTCCGCTGGGTTGGCATCTGCATTTTCGGTGCCTTCCAGGAAAGGGGTGAATGGGAGGGGCCCTTAAAGTCCTCAGTGTAGGCAGCACCCCTGGATTTTTTTCCAGCTGTTTTGGGAGAATCTGTGGGATCTCAAGGTCAGCAGGGGCCACACTCAGGACCCCCAGGATGACAGAGCCACACTTTGGCCATGACTGGTGCTGAGAACTCCAGATCTGAGAGGGCTCGGTGAGTCCCAGGGTTGGGACATGCACCTGTGTCCTCGGCACCGACCCTCCCACCGGCTCTTGTGTCTGTGGGCCGAGGCCACGTTCAGCTCTCAGTGCAGTGCTGAGGGCCGACCTGGCGTCCGGGCCCCTTGGGGAAGCGACTGTTGTGTGGAGGCCAGCACCTCACTCTGAGTCTTTCAGGGCCTGACTTGGGTCTCACCATGCATGGTGGGGAGGCGGCCTCGGCAGCCCCGCCCTGTGGCATAGCCCTGCGTCCCCAAACCCTCCCTGAGCGGCACCCCTCAGTCTTCTCAACCCCACGGCCCAGCCACCTGCTCTGGGGGTGGGCGCCTTGCAAAGTCCAGAGGGCGTCCCTGCGCCCCGACTCCGGTGCCCCCACCACTGCCTCAACCCTGCACACTCGCAGTCCCCTCCCCTGGCTGGGGCACCGTGGGCTCGGCAGGCCCAGGGCACCTGGGCAGAGCATCCTCAGGTGCCCCCAGGGCCACCACGCACACCCCCCCCAACCCAAAGCTCCATCTATGGTCAGAGGCTCTGCACTGGGGTGGGAGCCGCTGTCGCAGGACCGCTGTGGACCCTCCCGGAGGAAGGCGTCCCCTCACAGACCCTGGGGAGGGTGTGGTCCTCAGGTGTCCCCCAGAGCTGCAGAGTGGGCGTCCACAGGAGGGGCAGTGGAAAAGTGTGGCGGTGGGGAGGACCCGGGATGGGCTGTGATGCTGCCAGTCACACCCTGAGCCTGCTCGGCCTGGAGCCCCTGGCACCCAGCTCAGCTCCCATCCTAAAGCTGCTGGCTTTATCTGACTTAGGGAGTTCTTGGCCCAATGATGGCAAGTGGGCAAGGCCTTGCTTGGCTCCACTCTGCCTGGCAGCTGGACACGCGTGCCTCCAGGGCAGCTGGCTCTGAGGGTCTGAGGGGCCTCACGCCCAGCCCCGGGAGGGCCTGCCCGTCTCAGCCCTCGCCACGTCGCCCCGGGAGGGCCTGCCCGTCTCAGCCCTCGCCACGTCGCCCCGGGAGGGCCTGCCCGTCTCAGCCACGTCCTGATGCTCGTTGGTATGGTGGGTCTCCTGGGCTGCACCCAGGTCAGCTGAGACATGGCCCGGGTGACACCTTTCTCCTCTCCTTCCTCCACAGCAACATGGCTGACAAGGCGAAGCCCGCCAAAGCTGCCAACAGGACGCCCCCCAAGTCCCCGGGGGACCCCTCGAAGGACCGGGCGGCCAAGAGGCTGTCGCTGGAGTCGGAGGGTGCCGGTGAGGGTGCAGCCGCGGCCCCCGAGCTCAGTGCCCTGGAGGAGGCCTTCCGGCGCTTTGCGGTGCACGGGGACACCAGGGCCACTGGGAGGGAGATGCATGGCAAGAACTGGTCGAAGCTGTGCAAGGACTGCCAGGTGATCGACGGTAGGAACGTGACGGTCACCGACGTGGACATCGTCTTCAGCAAGATCAAGTGAGTGCGCCAGGCTCACGGGCTGAGGGACCTGGCTCATGGGGGTCTGTGACCCTGAGCCCCCGGGTGGGTTCTGTGGGGAGTGGGCCATGGGGAGTCGAGGGGGTTGTGCTTCAAGACCCCGCCCTTCTCAGAAGCAGCCCAGACGTGGGAGTCTGAATGTGCCATCTGGGCCTCCGGAAGCAGGGGTCCGGGCATTCCAGGACCTCTCGGTTCCGAGTCCTGAGCGGCAGCCCTGGCTCCTCCTGGCCCCATGGTTGTGCGGGGTCTTGGCATGGGAGGTGGCCTATGAGGGGGTGTCTGGCCTCGGAGCAGACTCAGGGTGAATGTTGCTCTCCAGAGTCAGGGAGCTGTGGCTGGGATCACTGGGCCTCCCCAGGAGTGGGGACAGTTCCTGCCTGAAGCCTGGAGAGGCAGTTGGCTGCTGGCAGGCAGAGTTCCTGACCCTCCATGGGTTGACTCAGGGGCTGAGTCTCAGAGGTTGGATGCTTGTGTCCCCATGCATGGAGCTGGCCATTCAGGTCCCAGCCCCTCCCAAAGCCTTTGTGCTGCTCCACTTCTGCCCCGGGATTCCCACAGGTGCCGAAACAGCAAAGGGCACCAAGGATGCGGCTCTGGCCATCACTGCAAAACAGCATCATGCCGTTTGCTTTGTCTGCGTTGTGTGTGCATGTGTGCGCGTTTCTGCGTCGTGTGTGCATGTGTGGGTGTGCGTTTCTGTGTCATGTGTGCACGTGTTTCTGCGTCCTGTGTGCACGTGTGCACGTGTTTCTGTGTCATGTGTGCACATGTGTAAGTGTTCCTGTCGTATGTTCACGTGTGCGTGCATTTCTGCGTCGTGTGTGCTCGTGCATTTCTGCATCCTGTGTGCACGTGTGTGTTTCTGCATCGTGTGTGCACGTCTGCGTGTTTCTGTGTTGTGTGTGCACGTGTGCCCGTGCGTTACTGCGTCGTGTGTGCATGTGTGCACGTGTTTCTGTGTCGTATGTGCACATGTGCAAGTGTTTCTGTGTCATATATGCACGTGTGCGTGCGTTTCTGTGTCGTGTGTGCACGTGCGTTTCTGCGTCCTGTGTGCACATGTGTGTGTGTTTCTGCGTCGTGTGTGCAGGTGTGCATGTGTTTCTTTGTCGTGTGTGCACGTGTGCCCGTGCGTTACTGTGTCGTGTGTGAACGTGTGCGTGCGTTTCTGCATCGTGTGTGCACGTGTGTGCATGTTTCTGCATCGTGTGTGCACATATGCACGTGCATTTCTGTGTCATGTGTGCACACACCTGTTGCTGTGTCACACGTTGCCTGTTTTCTCCTGGATGATTGCCGGGAAGCACACTGAGGCACCCTCACCCACCCCGGCACATTTCACCTCATGTCCCGACACCCCACCATGATCGCGCCTGAGAAAAGCAGTGGTTCTCCCCCAGCCCCGTGTCTAGCCCTGTCCTGTCCATCTGTGTAGAAATGGCTTTATTTTGGCGGTTTGCACCCGCGTCCACTTGCAGCCAGATTCCTACGTTGCCACAACCTCATTACTTTTTCATCTCAGAGCTCCTGCTGCCTTCCCCCTCGGAGGCCTTGGCTTTGCAAGGGGCTGGGCCGTGGGTCAGATGCCCCCATGCTGAAGGCTTTGGGGCCCACCTCTGCGGTGTCAGCACCCATCTACCAGCTCTGGATGGGCACCGTGGCCTTTGCAGCTGTGCTGTCTCTGCTGTGGTCTGTGGCGATGTCACATGTGTCTCCCGGGTCATGCATGTCCCCTGGGTCTTGGGTGTCTCCTGGGTCGTGCATGTTCCCGGACTGTGCGTGTCCTGGTGAGCTTCCTATTGTGTACGGCACATCTGAGTGCATCTGAGGGCATTTTGAGTTTAGAAAGTTATGCCAGAAAAGCCATGAAACTGCTCAAAAGGATGCCTGAACCCGGATCTTCTCTCCAGCTGACTGCCTTGCAGGCTCCCCCAGCTCTAGGGGATGGCAGGGGCAACCAGGGCCAGCAAGTCCTGTTCGTCGTCCTGACAGCTCGCAGCCTCAGTCCTAGAGAAACTGGAGGGGAGGGTCCATCCGGGGACCCGGGTGCAAGCTGGTCTCACCCTTGACCCTGTCCAGACCCAGTGGCCCCTGCCAACCTCCTTTGTGACTTCCCAGCCTCAGCGTCCTCATGGGCTTAGCCATCGGCCGGTGTGAGAGGAGGCTGTGGCTGGCCCCTCTGGGCAGGTAGTCACGTAGCCTTGCGCTTCCCAGCCTTGGACAGGGCCATCATTTGCCAACACCTTGGTGGTTGGAGCCCATACTAACCCAGGATCACTCATCCCTGGGGCCTCTGGAGACCAGGAAGGCACAAAGAGCCTGCCAGGGCAAGGGGACCAGAAGGGCCCCGACAAGGGCTGGGGCTTGGCCTGCGAGGGTCCGTCTGACAGCCTGAACCCCCCACACTGCACCCCTGGCCACACTACACCTGCCTGTGCTGCACCCCTGGCCATACTGCACCCCTGGCCACACTGCACCCCACACACTGCACCCCCGGCCACAGATCCTTCGTGGACTGACTCTCGGGGCCGCACCTCCAATGGTACTGTGGCTGAGGCGACTGGCACCTGACTCAGAGGTCCAGACCCCACTTGTGGGCTCTTTGGCGAGAGGCAGCTCCCACAGGCTTGCTGGGGCTCCCATATCACCCACAGGGCTTGTCGTGCCAGCTGCTGCCTGGAAGACAGACCAGCCGCCATCCCTGCTGGAAACCTGCAGCCTCCTGCAGCAGCAGGCTATGCAGTGTAGGCTTGTGTAGACACCCCCCGCCAGCTGCTGACAGGTCCTGGTGACCAGGGCCGCTCTGGTGGGTCAACAGCCATGGGCAGGCGGCACTGACCTGCGCTGTGCTCAGGAGGCCGGGGGCCAGAGCCTCTGGCACAGACAGTGCCCTTGTCCTGAGCCCAGAACTCACTTTGCCAAGGGACGTGTCCCAGGCACACAGACCAGGAGAGGGAAACTGGGTTGGCTATATTTAGCCCATACAGCGGCAGGTGGGGTTCGCAGAGCGGCCATGGTGTCTGGAGCCTGTGTGGACATTGGCAGGGCTGGCTCCTCCCCTTGGCCGCCAGGGCCCATGTGTCCCCCAGTGCTCCTCCTCCCCCTCAGGTGTCCTTGTTTGGAGGGGACCCAGCCCCTTCGTGGATCCCAGCCCCGTGCTCCTGGGCCCTGGCAGCTGCTCCTCAGCAGGCCTGGGCATGTGGGCGCGTCTGGGACGAGTCCCTGGGTGCCCTCTGTGCCGCCCAATGTGTGCTCTGGGATACACAGGAGCAGACCCAGGGCAAAGCAGTGTGGAGACGGTGCTTGTGGGTGAAGCTCCTAGAAGGGCTGGGCGGGAGGTGGGAAGAGCCTGTCCAGGGGCCATCAGCCCTGCAGGGCCAGCCCCATGCGCACAGCCTTGGCGCACAGCCTTGGCACTGCCCGGACACACCAAGTATGGTGCCAGGTATGATTCCTTCTGCAGAAAGTGGCCTTCAAACTATGGCGCATGTGTGCGTGCACATGGCCACACGTGCACACACACGCCTGCACACACCTGCACACACATGCAGAGCTCTCCCTGTGGTGGCTGGGGCTTGGCGGCTGTGGCTCATTTGGAGAATGATGGGAGCCCTGCCTGCTCGTGGGGGTGCTGGCACCCCAGAAGGCCAGAGGAGCCCCAGCTGGTCTGGGCCTGTTCCCAGAGCCAGGGCTTGAGCTGCTCAGGCACTTGGGGGCTAAAGCTTGGCCCCCTGCTCCAGCACGGCCACCTCCCCAGTGCAGAACCTGGGACCAGCCTTGGGGTGTGCCAGCCTTGGCTGGCCATGAGGGTCAAGGTCTGGGGGAGCAGACAGCTGTGGCCCGAGCCCAGGGAGGGGCTGAGGCTGAGACCCAGTCCTGGGCAGCCTGGTTGGCTGGCTGGGCACTGTGGGTGGGCGCTGTGTGGCAGATTGTCCTGTGGGCAGCAGCTCAGGTGGCCAGGACCGGGACCGTGGCCTGAGGGGAGGCTGAGGGATTCTGACCTCCCCGCCTCCCAATTCACCTGCAGCCGCAGACCCTTGTGACCCCGGGCTTCCCCCAGGACTGCCTCCGCATCTCTCCCACCCTCAAACTGTCCTTCCCTCCTGCAGCCTAGATTCCCTTCGGGGGAGGGTCCCTGTGATCCTGGCACGGGGTCCTGACCTCCCAGGTGTGCAGGAGCAAGGGGCCTAAACTCACACACTTGTCTCAGGAAGACAGAGGGGGGCAGGGCCACCAGGAGGGGCTGGCGACACTAGAGATTTTCCTTTAATCTCCAGGAAAAGCAAGGGGTGGCGGGCAGCAGGCCTGAGGGGTATTGGCTTGCTTTTGTTTTGCATTTTGGAGAGGGGGATGCCCACTGTCACTTGTGGGAGCCTTTGCCTCCCTCAGGAGCCTGGGGACCGCGAGGAAGTGGCCTTAGGTACCGCAGAAAGCTGCTGACTCTGACAGGACTTGCAGAGAAAAAGTCCACCGATTTCTGTTTTCGGGGCAGGTTGCCATGGCTCCACCGGCGTGGCGCCAGCTCGGGGTATCTGCGAGCCTTTGTTTAGTCCTCGTTGCCATGGCAGCGCTTGTTTGTTTTGATGTTACTATGTGTTAAATCTTAAACAAATTTCTTGCAGCCGTATGCCAGGTTTTTGTTGAAGACTACCGTTAACCCAGACAATGACTCCCTCCTGCAAAGAGCACGCACTGGCAGCTTCAAAATATTAATTAATGGGCCGGGCGCGGTGGCTCAAGCCTGTAATCCCAGCACTTTGGGAGGCCGAGACGGGCGGATCACGAGGTCAGGAGATCGAGACCATCCTGGCTAACACGGTGAAACCCCGTCTCTACTAAAAAATACAAAAAACTAGCCGGGCGAGGTGGTGGGCGCCTGTAGTCCCGGCTACTCGGGAGGCTGAGGCAGGAGAATGGCGTAAAAACCCGGGAGGCGGAGCTTGCAGTGAGCTGAGATCCGGCCACTGCACTCCACCCTG